AAGAGACAATGGGAACACATCACAGACCACAAATTCACACCGAACCAGTGGGCAAAAATACTAATCCTACACCATAAATCTTCAGTGAGTTCCCAATACCAAGAAGTAAACTACAAACTCCTGTCCCAGTGGTACAAAACACCATCACGCCTACACAGGATATTCCCCAGCATCCCGGACACATGCTGGAGATGCGGGAGGGAGGAGGGCACTCTGAGACATATTTGGTGGTACTGCCCGAACATAAAACCATTCTGGAATCAGGTCAGCGAAAAAATTGCAGAGATCCCCCTAAATATGGAACAATACCTGCTACATTCGACACCAAGGCCAATCTCACAATATAAAAAATCCATATTGAGACATCTGCTGGACGCGGCCAAGGCACTCGTACCCGCAATGTGGAAACAGACGCAGGCCCCGACACTATCCCAATGGTACGATCGAGTGGAGGAGATTCGCTCCGCGGAGAACGTAAGGGCATCCCTCACGGGACAGAGCGAAAAATATGCTGAGTGGTGGGGTCTGTGGTTTGGGTTTGTCGCTGGGTGGCAAAGGGAAGACAGCTTGACCCCACACGCCGATCCGGCAGGCACAGGGGGAGCAACGGGGGACACACAACGCTAGACGATATGATTATCATGGAGCAGCCAGCCACTCGACCGGCAGGGGCAAGGGGACTAAGCCCGACGCTAAGACCACTGGAAATGAACAAGGGACGGTACCCGACCCACTGTCGTGATCGGGGGAAATACAGGGAGACGGGGGATAAAGGGGTCGACGCATAACACCTCCAGACCATCACAAACCAAGGAACCAGCAAAAGGTACACACACATGGAGGGGACACACACACTAATATAGACTCACAAACCCACACCCACAGGCCCGGAGATGGGATAGCCACACCATCAACCAGAGCGACCCACCGACCAAACACCACACACTGCACAGCCACTCCAAAACACAGACACAAAATACCGTCTTCACCAGACCTGCGCACCAAGGAAACAAGGTCACTCCAGAACCATTAGACACAGCACAATGCACACATCACAGGAATGCAGAGATCCCAAAAGCCAGGACACGGGGTAACACAATCCCGAGCCCATGAAAACGCACACATGACTAGGGAACACAGGTGCTCTGAAATTTTACAGGACACACACGCCACAAATACACAAACGACCCCCACCCATATAAGTGACCGAAAGGCCAACACAAGAGAGGACACTAGCAACTCGACCCCAGAAACACTTAAATACACACACGACCACCTCGCAGCGACCGCCTGCTCCACGACCCGACACCACACCATCAGACACGTAAAACACGCAAAGCAAAGAGACGCCAGCGCCCTTCATATATAATTTGAAGCGGCCCTATCCCAACAACATTAACAAGATCAACTAATTGGGGAAGTCCCACATGCCCAAACCTAGCAGTTCATACCACCTGACCACCAACTTATAACTACAGGTCCAAACAAAGGAATATGCACTGACCGCAAATAGACAGGCTGCGTTAGGAGAGCAACCCACCTGTTATTATAAACCAATACAAAATATCTTCATGTTATATGTTCATCACCCAGTTTGTCTAGAGACCTGTGTATCTCCTTTTGTGTTGTTAATTAGGAGATCTGCGCATCTCGATTGACCTACTGTTATGCTGTTTACTTGAAACCTGCATGTTTCTACACAATTATTTCCATAATTTTCTATGAAACATTTGAAAAAACTTCAATGAAAAGAGATTTACAAAAAAAAATAATATCTTCCAATACTTTTGTGATACATATGTAACCGTGATAATTTAGAATTTTATAAAATTGAACATGTCCCTATGAGTCCAGCAAAAACAAATCATTCTAAGTATTCGGGAACCCACAATAAAGTCTAGACAAATCATACGTGCCATTGGAATTGGGTGGGAAGACAAAGCATATGCCTTACCTGTCTTTGGGTAGGCTAATACTCGCCTCTGTGTCCTTAATAAAATCATGACTTTACGTCATGTAAGTAGTCACATCTGGTAATTTTATTACAGGACACTGAGGCTCATATTAGGCTAGTTAAAGCTGTGAGATAACCATAGAAGAAATGTGTTCTGCTGGACGAAAATAGTACTCTTTGAATGTTGATTCTCGATACCAATCAGCTGTGCGGAGCAGGTCTTCCAATTTACAACCCACTGTGAATGCCTTTGAAGCCATAGTGCCTCTAGTAGAATGAGCTCCGTAGACTGATGTGTCGATGTTAGCAGCTGACATTATCCATTTCATCCAGTGTGCCAGAGTCACCGTGGATACTGGGTGATGAGGTTTCTTTAGAGCCAAAAACAGGACCTGTATTGTTGGTTTCCTGAATGGCTGGGTTCGTAGCTCGAACTCTTGTAGGCATGCTACCGGGCAGAGGTTAGCATTGTGAGGAAAAGAGGAGTAGAAGACTGAAGTGGTCTTCGACTTTGTACATCTGGTGATATTAAACAAAACACAATTTGGAGTAAAGGAACGTGCGTCAATATCCAGAGCACGAACGTCCGACACCCTTTCACAGGAAATGAAACACAGGAGCATAGCAAATTTTGCAGACACTTGTTGGAGCGTAAGGTCCGAGTTCGTAGGCCAATCTTCCAATAGACGAAGGACCAGATTGACGTCCTATAAAGCCGTGTATTGGGGCTGTGGTGGATGTGCAAATCTAATGCCTCGTAGAAGGTGACAAACCAGCAAGTTTTTCCCGGCCGGGAAGCCAGTGACCAGCAGAGATTGCTGATCTATACACGTTTCTTGTGCAGTAGGCCAGGCCTTGGTCATACAGGGCGGTAAGGAAACTCAAGATGTGGTTCATAGAAGCACGTATGGGATCCACGTGTTGTTCCATGCACCAACCACAACATGTGTTCCAGGCATGGGTGTAGGATCGTCTTGTTCCTGGAGCCCAAGCTCCTGCCAATAAGTCAAGAGTTGCTTGCGAAACGTTTGGCATGACCCAAGGTCCCCGGAGAGGAGCCACGCCAGGAGTCTGAGGTGTCCCTGAACTAGAAGGGGGTGCGAGTTCCCATCGGGATCTGAAAGTAGGTTCATGGATAGTCCATGAATTAGCCTGGGGAGGTCAATAGACTTTCCATGAGTGAAAGGAACCAATGAAGCTCAGGATCATTGTAAATGTAGGAGGGTCCAAGCTATTAGAGAGAATGGAGGAAAAGCATACAGCCGTCTGTCCGACCAGGGTTGTAGGAAGGCGTCCACCGCCATGGCGTCTGGGTCTGGTCTCCAGCTGAAGAATGAGGAAAGTGGAACATTCAACCGGGAGGCCCCAGAGTTGTTGGAGCCGCAGGAATATCGTGCAGTTCAGTCGCCAGGCACTGTTGTCCTGTAGATGCCTGGAATTCCAATCTGCTACGATATTGGATAATCCCAGAAGGTATTCTGCTTGTATCGATATGTTGCAATACTGGCAGAAGTGCCAAAACTCTTTCGCCAGGTTCGTGAGTATCGTGAATCTCGTGCCACCCAGGTGGTTGATGTAGCGGACGGCCGAGATATTGTCCATGTGCAGTAGGGTGGAACAATTGGTTGTATCTCCAAGGAGGCTCCGAAGGGCCAATGACCCCACTAGGAGTTCCAGGCCATTATTGTGAAGCTCCTTTTCATGTGAAGACCATTTTCCACCTGTAGAGGTGGGACCACAACTAGCCGAGTCTGCTCTCATCAGATTCTATGATGAGATCCGGGGTGGTTCCGAAGATTGCCCTGCCATTCCATGCTTCCATGTGTTGAAGCCACCATGCGAGATCCTCTTTTGCTGAGCAATCTAATGGAACAGAATCTGAGTAAGATTGACCCAAACATAGGTGTGTGGCCTTGAGTTGTTGCAGGGCTCTGTAGTGGAGGGGTCCTGGAAAAATCACTTGTATGGAGGCAGAGAGAAGGCCGATTATCCTCGTGAGTTCTCGCAGGGTCAAGACCGGTCGTGCCAGTGTCCGCCGGATTTCCTTCTTGATGAGTTTTACCTTTGTGGTAGGCAAACTAAGCGTTCCGTGAATGGCATCTATATTGAATCCCAAGAACTCTATGGTTTGGGAAGGATGCATGATTGACTTGTCCCAGTTGATTAGGAAACCTAGGTTTTGAAGGAGGGACAGCGCCCAGGAGAGATGTTGACTCAGTAGCTGAGCGTCATGGGCCATGATTAGCATGTCATTGAGGTATATGATCATACGGACGCCCCTGCTGCGTAAGAGGGCGACCACCGGCTTCAGCAACTTGGTGAAACACCACGGGGCTGAGGGCAGGCTGAACGGGAGACATCTGAAACGCCACATAGTCTTTTCACATTGGAATTGAAGTAGGCGTTGACGCTCTTTGGCGATCAGAATCGCGAGGTACGCGTCTTGGAAATCGAGTTTCACCATCCAATCTCCCAGTTTTAGGAGGTCCCGGAGGAAGTGTATCCCTTCCATCTTGAAATGATGGTATGTGACAAAGGCGTTGAGGGGTCGAAGGTTGATTGCTGGTCTCATACCTCCACCTTTCTTGTTTAGCAAGAATATGTCAACCAGGTAGATCGCACCTTTCTCTTTTAATGTGCGAATCTCTTCTGATACTAGCTTTTTGTCTCGTTGGGAAAAAACAATCCGATGTGATAGTGAGAATTGGATCGGTTGTTGTACAAATTCGATGTGATAACCTAAAATGGTCCCTAGGACCCAAACATCTGATGTTAGTTTGTGCCATGCATCAAGCATTTTAAAATGGGATAATCTGCCCCCCCACATATGATAGAGAAAGGGTGTGTAATGGAAAGTAACTCACCATAAGGTCGACGGCAATAGGAGGATCCCCTGGTTCCACGTGGTTGCCATGACCTGCCCCTGGTCGGGAAGAATGGTGAAGGTACTCTAGGTTCCAGGGGTTGGAACTTCGTTGTGGAGGAGCCTCGGTAGCCTCTGAAAACCTTCTGGCCCTAGTATGTCCAGGACCTTGTCCTGGCAATGTCATAGGGAATAGTCTAGTCCCTTTTTGACCTTCCAGCCTGATTTACCCTGAAATTGGGCGATCTTAGGATCCACTTCGGGGGTCACACAGGCAATGTCTGGGACTGTAGGGCGTGAGCACTCTGCTCTTAGCTTATTTCTCGTGGCGTTATCTAGGGGCTTCCTAACCCTAGTGGCAATGTATATGGCCACATGGGTGGTGGGGTAGCAGTAAGCCGAGCGAGGGTTATGCAGGGCATCAGGGTCAAAAAGGGGTTCCCCTTCAGGTTCCAAGACGGCGGATTTGTCCGCCTCCTGCCTAGCCTCTATGGCTGGCTGCACAGTCACACTGCGTTCGGGGGAAGAGTCCTCCGAGTAAACTGGGTCGATGGCATCGGACCCGTCTGAAACCTCCTCCAAGTCCGAATCGGAGTCGGACGAATCAGGCATGGCTTTTGCACCACTTTTGCCCGGCGGGGGGTTCTTCTATGTGGGAGCACCACGTCCTCAATATCAACAGGGCGCAACTTGTACATCACAACATTTTTGGAGGCAATATTTGTCACATGGTGAGATTTGCTCGCAGCCTTGCGGCCACTAGGGACCATCGGTTTATTATCAGAGTCCATAGGGGACTGCACTGATAGCGGTTTTTACCGCGATCCAGAGGGTGGCCAGCGGGGCTCGTTCTGAGGTAGGGAGCGGAGGGGGGAGGACCTAGGAGCTCTGAGGACATCCCGCAAATGGTGGGAACCGGGTTATAAACAACCCGAACAGCAGTGAAAAGGGCTTGCCCCAGGGGAGGGGCAAGGAACCCTGTAATGGAAATATGAAGCAACAGTACACAAAATCATGAAAATATTACCAAAACAGTAGAATAATGTACAAATATCTTAACCCCTTCAGACCGGAGGGCATACTATTACGCCCTATTTTAGGCGTCTCTAAACGCTGCAGGGCTTAATAGTACGCCCTCTGGTTTTTTTTTTACTTACCCGGGGGAGGGAGCCCCCCACGGCACATCCGTCCTCCCGCAGTCCCCCCCTCCCCCCGGCCATGTGAGAGTGAGGTCCTTTTTACTGTTTTGAAACACAAATATTTGTGTTCAGTGAAGTCTCCTGAGTACAACAGTAACCCTTATGTACAGGTTTTATGGTGTTTTCAAAAGTTACAGCGTCAAATATAAGGCTTGTGTTTAATTTTTTACACAACATGTTATATCATAAGACAAATGTATACACCATGGTTGCAAAATGCTTCTGAACAGGTGAAAATAAATAAATAAAGAATGTTGAAAAAAAATTTTTTGCCAGATTGGTTACGTGGCCTTTGAGGCCCTATGGTAGCCCAAGAATGAAAATTACCCCTATGATGGCATACCATTTGCAATAGTAGACAGACAATGCCTCACAAGGACCTCACTCTTGCATGGCCGGGGGGGGGGGGCAGAGGAGGCAGGATCCACCGCGGGGGACTCACTGGGTTCCCAGGTGAGTCCTCGACTGTGATCGCCGGCGACCGGGTAAGTAAGAAAAACCGTGAGGGCGTACTATTACGCCCTGTGGCGATTAGAGCCGCTTAGAATAGGGCGTAATAGTACGCCCTCCAGTTTTAAGGGGTTAAACATGCAAAAGAATTTTGGATAGTGCACAGATTTTTTTTATTTTGTTTACTTTTGTTCTATGTATTTGAGCTGTTGTATACTGTAGCCAGTGTAATAGTGAGAGTTTGTATATTAGTATTTACTTTTGTATTTCACAACCATGGTACAGTGCAGCAGCCCACCTTATGTGTGTCCTATTAATGGTTAATAAGTGTGAAGGGGTTTAAAAAAATACCTCTGTTTCATTAGAGATGTTGCTTTTTAACTGAAAACAGTTACATGGTTACATAGGCTGAAAAGACACATATTCAGCCTTCCTCACATTTGTTTTTTGCTATTGATCCAAAAGAAGGGAAAAAGACCTAGTTAGAAGCACCTTCAATTTTGCAACAAACTAGGAAAAAATTCCTTCTCGACCCCATAATGGCATTTAGATTTATTCTTGGGTCAATGAGTTATTATCCTACAATTGAAAAATTATATCATTGAATATTATTATTTTTGCAAATATGCATCTAGTTGCTGTTTAAACGTGTTATAAAACCACTTCTTAAGGTAGAGAATTCCACATCCTTATTGTTCTTACTGTAAAAAAATATTTCCTTTGCCTTAGACTAAATCTCCTTTCTTTCAGTCTAAATGTGTGACATGGTGTCCTATGTATAATCCTGCTTGTGAATAGATTTTCAGACAATGTTTTGTATTGGCCCTGCATATATTTGTATAATGTTATAATATCACCTCCAAGGCACCCTTTTTTCAAAACTAAAGAGGTTTAAATTTGTTAAAGGGACACTATTGTCACCAAAACAAATTTAGCTTAATGAAACAGTTTTGGTGTATAGATCATGCCCCTGCAGGATCAATTATCTGCCATTTAGGAGTTAAATCACTTTGTTTATTAACCCTAGTCACACCTCCCTGCATGTGACTTGCACAGCCTTCCTAAACACTTCCTGTAAAGAGTCATCTAATGTTTATCCTTCCTTTATTGCAAGTTCTATTTAATTTAGATTTTCTTTTCCAATGCTATATTATTAGCTTGCTAGACCTTGCAAGAGTCTCCTGAATGTGATTAAAGTTCAATTTACAGAGCAAGAGATACAATTGTTTAAGGTAAATTACATCTGATTGAAAGTGAAACCAGTTGTTTTCATGCAGGCTATGTTAATCAGAGCCAGAGGAGGTGTGGCAAGGGCTGCACAAACAGAAACAAACTGATTTAAAGCGGCACTGTCATGCCGAACTTACCTTTCTTGAAAGGGAAACTCCAGTGCCAGGAAAACAATCCGTTTTCCTGGCACTGCAGGTCCCCTCTCCCTTCCACCCCCTATCCCCGGTTGCTGAAGGGGTGAAAACCCCTTTAGTAACTTACCTGAGGTAGCGACGATGTCCCACATTGCTGCTTCTTCCTCTGCCGCCTCTCCTCCCTACGATTGCGTCGGCAAGTGGGCGAGACTGATCCCGCCCACCGGCCAGGGAGACTTAATGCGCATGCGCATTAGAGCTCCCCAATAGGCAAGCATTGAAAATGATTTTCAATGCTTTCCTATGGGGAAATGAGCGACGCTGGAGGTCCTCCCACAGCATGAGGACGTCCAGCGATGCTCTAGCACAGATTTTCTGTGCTATGATGCAGGAAGTGCTCTCTAGTGCTCGTCTAGTAGACAGCCACTAGGGGTGGAGTTAACCCTGCAAGGTAAATATTGCAGTTTATAAAAAACTGCAATAATTACACTTGCAGGGTTAAGAGTAGTGGGAGTTGGCACCCAGACCACTCCAATGGGCAGAAGTGGTCTGGGTGCCTGGAGTGTCCCTTTAATCGATTCCTCTTCTCTCCCTCTGTCAGGATCTGTTCTTTATTTCTTCCTGTCTACTCTAGTTTTCTTTAAAACATAAGACAAAGTAGGGAAACTACCAAATTGCGTCTTAACAGAATGAGAACAGTTTGTTCATTCATGTTAGGATGCAATTCGGGACTTTGATTAAAAAACAGGTAATATGGGGGGCTTAGGGGAATTTGCAGGTGACTAGGGGGTCAATTAGATGTAATAGAGTCGGGAGGGGGATTAAAAAAAATGGGATTCGGCCATTCAGTGCCTAAATGGCAGTGAATTGAGCAGTGAAACCTGAGAGACATAATGTATACACTAAAACTAACTAAAGTTGTTTAGGTGACTATAGTGTTTCTTTAACCTTTCTTCATAGCTAAAATGTTTTATTCCTTTTTTTTTTTTATTTTGTAGCCCGCCTCTGTACTTTTTCTAGTGCCATAATATCCTTCTGTAAAACAGGTACCCACAATTAAACAGCCTATTGATATAAGATGTGGTTTTACCAGTGATTTATAAAGAGGAAAAATTATATTTTCAGAGAATTAATGCCATTAATTTACATATATGCATGACAATACCTTACTGGCCTTAGCTGCTGCTGATTGACATTGCACATTGTTGTCTATATTAATTCCCAAAGTGAATAGTATAGTATTCTCCTGAGAGGTTTTCCTTGATTAGTTAGGTGAGTTTACACTTTGATGACCACAGGAGTGTTAATAAAACACCTCCTGATGTTTAAATGTGTATAGAGATTTGGGCTAATGCACAGGTAACCATTTTTTTGCATTTGTGCTGACGTATACTGTAGTAGTTGCTGCTGCCCATGAGTATAGGGCTTAATTTTGTGTTTGTCTTGGTCAAGAGAAAATGAAATTGAGACTTCAGCTGATGCATTAAGCATTCGGGACAAAATAAGGACATCAATGTCCTTTTTTGTTTTTCTTCAATACAATTGATAAATGATTATTTGTTTGAATTCAACACCAAACAATTTATCAAACGTGAAACTGTGGATTTAAATGTTTATTTCATTACAAATAAATATCTAAATAAAAATAATACTTTAATGAAATCATGTTTTGCCCACCATGTGGAGCTTTTTATGTGCAGGGGATTTGATGAAGCAGAGGGGTCTTTGTAAATCACTCTATAAGTTGATAAGCTCCTGTGAACTCTCTCTAATTAGAATATGATAAAACGTTATGTAATGTAAACTAATTGGGTGGTCTTATTGCCAGTAAAAGGACATTAATGAGGCATGCAAAGTTGAGAAAGAAGGGGGTAGTGAGCCTTAAAAAGAATGTTACTAATTCAGCACACATCAAAAAATTAGACAGCAGAGAGAATTTGCAGCTGTGCAGGCAGGAAAAAAACTCAAAATAAATGCTAAATGCAATAAAATCCATTTACATCTCAGCTTGTGAGATTGTGAGAATACTTTACTGGAATTTCTGTAATGGAACAGAACTATGTTATTAAGGATCTCTTATACAAAAATTGTAAAGGACAGATTTCATCTTAAAATGCTAGGGTTACGGTTCTTTTGCCAATCTATTTCAAATTTAAAGCATTTCCTATTTTAAAAAATGAAAGGAAATATCTAAAAAAATATATTTATATATTCTTTGTAAATATGTATTGCCCACTTTGAGTTAGATACCACTATTCTTACAGATAAATAAAATCAGAAAATTAAAATTTTTTTAAGGAGAATCCATCTCCTTTTAGAAAGTACTGATGCAAAACAAGGACCGATCTGAGGATTTATCAGCTGTTTTGCAATTCAATTGCCCTTTAGAGAAATAAAATACCAAGCTCTGAGTGCTAAGAACCAAGGTCACAAAATGGAATAAATGGCAGTCTCCTTCATTAATACAGACCCCATTTCCAAAACTCTACTTATTATTAGTAAAACAGTGTATTCCTAAATCTTTAAAATAATAACTAATTCTTTAAATAATTTTGTCGGCACATACTGTCCAGGAGGCTTCACATTATTCTTGTGCAAA